TTATACACCTTGGAATCTTATACCACTTATATACCTGGTACATTGAAATATTTTCTATATGAGGTGATGCTTCAATTATACACCTTGGCTAATCCCTTATACACCTTCTCATATCATAACATCACGAGCAGACAGAACACTTATACACCTAAAAAGGTTTCTATATACACCTTGAGGATCACTTTAACCTTGACGGTTCACTTATTCACATAGATGACTTTATCATCTTCAAAAGTGACTTTAAGATTACTCCCAAGATGCATGTGTTGTATCATTCTTTTCTTGAGGTTTTGCTGAATTTATCACTGAAATGATTTATTTATTTCCGTGAGAATCCTTGAGGAATTGCATGCGTCACTCTGCACCCAATATTACGAATTTAACAAGTAACATGGTAAATATAGTAGACGATTGAAAGACTCCCCAGGGCTGCAGCCGTCGGGACAGGGGTTTGTTGTTTCACATTTCACACATTACAGACATCTAAACATATTATTTGTGATGCCTCTGAATGAAAAAAGCTAGCTACGGCTCTGTTATACTTCATTCTGATGAATTTTAATCTTATCTCTAAACAAGCAAACCAGCCGATTACACTGCTACAAATACATGTAAAGTCACGGTAAACCAAAAAAATCAACACCAATATGTTACCTTGAGTCGGAGGTACAGTTGTCGCCGTACTCGGTGTAGAACTGGTAGTCTTCGCTTTGTCCTTGTCATCTTTGTGATCTTTTTTGTCTTTTTTGTCCTTTTTATCCTTCTTTTTTTTAAATAGAGGCATGACTGTATTGAAGCCGAAGTCACCGCACCCACAATGGTAGCAAAGGGCATGTATTATTACTTAATAGTAATCATATTAAAATAAAACATTAACAGTCTGTCTTATTTGCATAAACACTGGTTATTAATTTAAAACTCTTTGCTGAACTTGAAATATTTTGATAAACATATTTTTGAATTATTCGGTTGTACTGTGAGTTTTATGAGTAATTGTTTTAGTACTATAAATATTAAGTTTGACACTAATTTATGTCTGGAGTACGGTATATACTATGACACAGGGTCCAAAGTACATGGAAGTAAAGTATGAATGCAAACACACATGTGTACATAGATGCCAGCCACATGGCAATTTGACCTTGCCTAGTCGCGCCCTCTAATGACGAAGCGCTTTTATGACATATATGGCTGACGCGAAAGATGTTCAAAGCATCGATATAGTTTTATGTAGTCGTTCAATAAAAATTATGATTTTAATGATTTTGTTGTATTCTAAACGACTTCAGACAAAAACAGTTGTCAATTACAGTGTCCATTGCTGTCATCCATATGCGTGTACACAAGCGTAAAAAATCATGATATATTTGGAAGCGGAGATAAATTATCGACATAAAACAACCGATTTTAATCTCAAGAGCAAGATTTGATTTATTCTGAATATCAGGAAAATAAAATACATTCACAGTACTACAATTACTTGCATTGCCGTCAAAAAACGTTGGACTTGATATAAGTTGATTGCACTAAGTTAAAATAAAAAAAGTTCTATAATATTAGACAAGTACATCTACAAAACCATTTTACAAAAAGTAATTAACTCAAATCTTAAATGAGCAGGTGAACTTTGGAGATGGCATGTTATAATGTTAAAGCAGGGGAGTCGTCACCTGCGTATGCCTCAGATGGCCATAGGGGTCTACAAGGGTCTACCCATGAGCCTTTGCGTTTTTAGCACATGTTATAGTCGCTTGAGACGCAATTCTCACGCGTACGCAGGTGACGACCCTCTCGCTTAAAATGGTTTGAGTCTAAGACAAGTATGCAAAATTATCTAATGGATTGTCTGCCTCAAATATAGTAGACATAGTTCAAATTTCAAAGGCACTGTCATGTCTCAATGTGGTTTAAAACCAAAATGCACATTTTACTAAAGACTTGAACCTTGAACGCCCTCAAGTGGCCAAACATGAAATATCACAGCACTAATGTGGCCGCTATTTAAACTTAACTAACTACTCAACACCATTGCATAACATGGTAATTTCAGGGGGGAGAAGAGTGTATACAATATGCAAAGTATATAATTATTAAATCACAAGTAGCAATTCATGTTTAATTAAAAAATATTAGCTGAATATCCACTATAGGAATGTCATCTTGCATGGAACGAATGAAAATCTAGTTACTTCACAATTTGACGCAAAACCTTCAAAGAGCAGAAGCAGATGGGATAGCAGATGGTAAATCATGCTGTTTTTTTAACTCTGAAACTGTGTACAAATTGTACAAATCTTATATGCATCAAAACAATTGAAGAAACTGTAACATAACTTATCTATGTTTATAACTGACAACAGAGTATTTTAGTTCAGATCACAAAACAAGTATGTGTGTGAGCCAAATAAATACAACAGTTAAGTTCGCAAGATTTACAACTTTAATTACATGATGCACTATAGAAATCCAAGACGATACGTTGGTTTCAAAACTGTGGCTCAAAATGACATATCATTGACTTTCTACCCCTTTAAACATATGTTGCTGTTATACAAGATCTGTGAAGTAAACTACATATATGAAACAAAAGTTTTTCTGGATATTCAAGCTATAAATTTCATAATTCCAAATATTGGGAAAAAAGAATATAAAATAATCTAGAAAGATGCCTCAAACTTAAATGACCTTAAATATTTTAAAGCAAACTACACACACAGTGCTATTAGGTAATATAATAAAAAGAACACTAATTACATCATATGCAAACTATTACTAAATACTTTATCGAATGACTTAATACCGTTGTTGAATAAGATAGATTAACTAAAATTACATAAATCCTTTCTCCACATGGACTGGGTACCATGAAAGTAAAAACAACTGATGAAATTTTAAGTATAAATGCAGCAACTCTGAAGTACACCTGTAAACCTGTCAGTCTTTGATAGCATGAATTATTGTTATAAATAAGCTTACTATAAATGCATGGTTAGACTGAATCACTTGCATGAAAATCAGAAGAAGATTATGATTTTTATCATGATTTGATCTAATTAATATCGCAAAATTTATTTAAATCAAATTCTACTTATTTCACTAAATATATTTGGCCACATGAAATTAACTTACAGTTTCAATGAGTTGTGTGAGTGTTTTTTTTTTTAGATACTGAACCAAATTTCATGGCTAGTTTTTCAACGAATATTCAATTTCATGAAACGTGTATTAATTTCTTGTGGTCATAAGAGAATTTTATATAATAAAGTCTGGCCATGAAAATATATTATCACAATACTTGAATATACAATCATTTTTAAGAATGTATGATGTTTATGTTGAAAGTGCCCTCTTAGTTGTCTTAGTTGAGACTAGTCTGTTGCATACTCCATAAGTGAGTGTTAAAGATTCAGGTGGGATTCTGGTTCAACCAATGTGGTTCAATAAAAAGAGACCCCCTAGCCTGTTATTTATTCACTGAAAAAAAATGCCATAATTGGTACTGGTACTACAATTAGTTTCTATGACTACAAAAACTGGACAGGTTCAAGTGTAAACAGTTGGTAAAGTATATCGTTCTGTGAGGTGACTTATTATATTTTCCCCCCAAAGAACCATCCCACTTTCACCCCAGTCTGTAATGTAGGCATTACACCCCTACATATAATAGACTAGTCTCAACAAGACTGCCCTTGTATGAAAGACTAGTCACAAATAAAAAGTGTCCTAGCACACAAGTCTGTCTTACATGAAAATCACTTTTAAAGACTAGTCTTACATAAAAGCTGCCCACTCAACAACTAGTCTTAGTCAAGAGTGTCCTCATTACATAGGTCTTGCATGAAGAGCGCCCTCATACATAACAAGACTAGTCTCTGCGAGACTGCCATGCATACAAATTAATCTGACAGACCAGATTTAGACAGACTAGATTGTCTTACACAAAGACTGCCCTCTTACAGAATGCTAATCTGACATAAGAGCACAATTTAACAGATGATAAGTGTTAGACAAAGAGCGCCCTTGTACACACTATTCTTCCACAAAAATCGCCCTTACATAAAAAATTAATCCTATGTGAAGGGTGCTCTCACAGAAGACCAGCCTCGCATAAAGATCGCCCTCACATAGAAAATTAATCCTATGTGAATGGTGCTCTCACAGAAGACCAGCCTCGCATAAAGATCGCCCTCACATAGAAAATTAATCCTATGTGAATGGTGCTCTCACAGAAGACCAGTCTTGCATAAAGACTGCCCTTACATAAAAAATTAATCCTATGTGAAGGGTGCTCTCACAGAAGACCAGCCTCGCATAAAGATCGCCCTCACATAGAAAATTAATCCTATGTGAATGGTGCTTTCACAGAAGACCAGTCTTGCATAAAGATCGCCCCCAAAGAAAATAATCCTATGTGAAGTCTTACACAAAGAGCGCCCTCTTACAGAATACAAGTCTAGCACTAAGAGTGCCCTCTTACAGAGGACAAGTCATTACAAAGAGCACCCTCACACAGAGGACTAGTCTTTACAAAGAGCCCCCTCAAATTTAAGACTAGTTTAAGAGCACCTAGAAGCCTGCCCTCTATACAAGTATAGCTTAGATGGGCCATTAAGAATTTTCACAGATTAAACAATAAGATTTAATAAAATCATAGACATAAATTCCTCATAGGAGACATTAATGCTACCACTCATCGCTGCATCTTTTTGCTTAAATGTGTCTGTAAGTGACTTCAGTAGGACGCAGCATTGGATAAAATCGTCAAATTTCAGGGTTCTTCGGGACTGTATATCGTACTTGGTCACAACCAGCTGTGAGAACTGTGGTGATAGTCTGTAGCCCATTGTGTTGAACGCTGCAATAACAGACAACAATAAGAATCAATTAATTCAAATTTCATGCACATTACCTTGGCTAAGATTTTATTGCACTTTGAAACGTACATGTTGAAACATATTGATTAAAGGAATCATTAATTTCCCATTAATTTGAAAGCCAAAGTCAATTTTTTTCACCTTTCACAAAATAACCCTGCATAATTTTATTTCCATTTTTTTCAAAACTTTGATCAAGACCCTGTATGTCCATTTAGTCAAAAAATAGCAAAGAAATGAAAGAAAAGAAAATGAAAAGTGCAAATGCTACTGGTACAAAAAACATGTAGAGCATATAACTACAGAAAACATTCCTTTTTTAAATACATGTGAGTTTCAATGTCTTTCCAGCATACATGTAATAGCAATTTTTGAATATAGCATGTCTACATTCAAACTTCTAACTGAATTGCAATCCATGGCAAACCATGTAACTGTGGATTTACAAGTATACAAGGGCTTCCTCATCCAAAACATGGTGAGCTCTGATAGAGCATGTACATGAGATATTAACACTCACCATTATGGAGTTCATTGGCATCAATTCTGCCTGAATGGTCTCTGTCATATTGTTGATATACTCCTCTCCATTGCTGTATATAATGCCACAGAGCAGCAAATTCATGGATGTCAATCTTACCAGAGTGATCTCTATCAAACATCCCTACAAGACAACACAAAAGCATTGTATCAGTGCAAGATGGCAGACATTTTATACAATGCAGGCAACGCATAGCACTAAGATTGTTAATGTGCTAAATGTCCTGGTATGTTTTATTTATCAAACATTTAATATGGATTGTGATAAAAGGAGCTGTGTTTTCATCAACTTTTTTATATATATTTTTTTAATCCACGTAGTACCAAGCCAAAATGATTGGATGATCATGCTATGCATATGCAAATAGCACCTGAATAGTAGCTACATTTATTACCACCAATTTACCTACTATTATCATGATAACATGACACATCACTACGAGTTACTTAGTTGGTTACTACTGTACAACTACAGTTTTACATGGATACAACAAACGACCTGACAGTCGAAAGAGCTTTCATGTCCTGTAAACACCTAGTGGTAGCGAAATTGTTGATAACCGATTAACAGCACAGCTATTAGGTACATGTACGGTAGTTACTAGGAAGTCGTCAATAATGTGAACATACAAGTCATTTTCAATGAAATAGTCCCCGTTGTATTATAGATGCAAGATATACATAAAGGTGATCCAATGTCACACTAACTGGTCTATTCATAATACCGGTAGTTACGATAATAAATTTAAAATCATAATTATACAATTATTCCACAAATTAGTGATCAGAAACATCAATATTGGTGCACTTTTAATTCACATGATTTTTCTCCATGCAAAAAAAATCTAATTTAAAAAAAAAAATTACAGCTTGAAACCTGACATAATCTTAAATTTCCCATTCATAATGACTTTCAAATCCTCAACAAATTTATGAACAAAACATGTACAATGTTCAGGAGATCCAGAGTTATTGGGGAACCAGAATAGTAATTGCATATTACAGCGTTTGACATGGTGGGAGTGTGTGGCATGTTAGCTGTTGTATATATCTGGTAGCATTGACGGTGCTGAATGTTACGTTGCATGGAACGTAAACTTCAATTGAACTCACTGTAATGACGCATGATGCGTTGACGAACAAGGAAAAAGAGCCAGAAGCATGCGCACTACGTACACAATTTGCTAATCACCTATAACAAGGTTATGACATATCTCATGAATATTATTTGAAAGTGAAATTATTAATAAAAAGCATTAAGTATGAAATGCCGAGATTTCACGTATATTCGATCTTGACCCCCACTCTTGTCTATTGTGGTTATTTGAAGACTGTAAACACTTTCTATCATACTAAACTGGTAACCAAATTTAACAACTGTTTCCGCATTTTACACCCAAATCTACATGAGCAAAGGCAAGTCTTGATTGTATACAGCGACACCAGTGGCTGTTCCTGGCTCCATGCATCCAGGAACAGTTCTGTCTGTACAATACTCAGGACTGTCCATTGCAACTTACTTACCAACCATAAGACGACAAGTCTCTGCATTAAAATGACTCCAGTCATTATTAGTCAAGGCTTGCTGTAACTCAAGGGCCGTTATTTTACCAGATCTATCAGCGTCTACTGCACAGAACCATTGCCATACACTGGGATCAATTCCAGGGGGACAACCTATAATCAAAGAAATGTAGGGGTGAACATTACGGAAGTTGTATTACATAGAGACACTTGGATGATGCTATTGTCACAATATCAAGTTCAACTTTTAGTAACAGATCATTGAATAAGTTTACAAACAAATACAATGTAGCTGAATTTTAAAATCAAAGTTAAACTTTGCTAAGCTCCTGTGTGAATACACAATATCATTGTTGCTTAATAAAATACATATCGAGGAAATGAAAATTCTCAACAGTCAGTGAATTAAGCAATGGCATTAGAGGATAAGATCATCAGATGTTCAGCATCAATATATAGCAAATTTGATCAAAATCTGCTCTAGATTGAGATTTTGTTTACACAGATTGAAATGAGACAATATGCAAATCAGCTACTTAATATGCAAGATCATGGCTCTAAAACTAATCATGTCTGTGTATTACCCCAAGGTACTAAATTTGATCGAAATCAACATTAAAATCTACTGTTTTCAAGATTTTGCTTACACAGACAGACACACCACACTTGTTACCGTTCTTGTGTTCTTGGCACACACAGGAGCTACGGTAATTAGAGATTTAAAAAAAAACATAATTTGGAAATTAAAATGTTGATTAGGAATCTGGAAAGCAGAATCATCTATGGAACATGAAGACCTACATGCATACATGTAGGATTCACCCACGAGGTAACATTTGGAAAAAATCCTATTTAGGTATTCAGCCACTGCCTCAGATCTCTTAGACACATCGGCTGATCATTTAAAGGGGAACCTTCCAATCCCAGGGATCACACCAAAGATTCATGGGACACTATTGTTTATGTTGTTTACAAATCTATCTTTTGTTATCCATTGTCATTTTAATCCAAAAAGTAAATTTATTGTGAGATTGGGCTTAACTGGAAGTGCTCCTTTAAAGTGTCTGTGCTACTCTGATGTTCCAAATCACTTAATGATATAAGAATCCAAATCCTAGTATCATCTGAACGGTTTTATCATTTACCGGTAGATAATGTGTTCTATATTAAATTTTACATATACACTGGGTTTTAATTAAGCGCATTTTAAAATTAAAACCCAGTGAATAATTAATCCTTTTACAGTACTTATTTTTAAGTGAGAAAATATGAGTTTCAAAGTAACTGTATACAATGGTCATCATTTGTATGCATGTATACTCTGTTAATATAACCAGACACATATGAGAAAATTTGAGTTTCAAACTAACTGTATACAGTGGTCATTATTTGTATGCATGTATACTCTGTTAATATAACCAGACATATAATATGCTGCATTTAATAGACATGATATAGAGACTGTGACATGGTTTTGGAAAACACTCCTGAACAAGCAAGTATCAACAAGATGAAATTATCTTACAAACGATGCAGGACTAAAAAAAAATGCTTCCTTTTAATTAAAATAAAAAGAGAAATGTTCCCTTATAAAAAAACAACAACAAATTCTGCACTTTTTATTTGAGTGATGTGGGTCATTTACACCCCTGCATTTTTTGTCAAATGCCGGACGAGACACTGGGGGGTCTGTCTACTAATAATTGTTTTAAAACTATTAATGTTAAGTCCAGCACTTAATTTATTACAGAGTCCAAAGTACATGGATGTAAGATATAAATACACATGTAAGCATATGGTGTATGATTAAGGTATATCCACCCTGTATTATTTTTATATATTTAGTTAACCTTAAGGGCCAGTGTTTGGCTACCCCATCTGGCAATATGATTGGTAAATATTTGTTTAAATAGAAAAAAGTAGAAAGAAAGAAACATGCCAAAAATCACACAAAATTTATTTACAAAGGTTTATTTTTATTGCAATTATTTTGAAGGATGATAAACTTTTTTTCATGCTCGATTTTAATTTGTACAGAAATAAAAACAGAGACACTATAGTTTTTAGTCATGCCATTATTAGCTCATGAATATTTATGAGCTTGTTGGATTCGGACAAACAAATATGTAAACAATAAACAGATACTCATACATATATTTAATGATTGTGACATATCAAAATTATTTTGTAATAAATTATTAATTTCTTATTATGTTCAACCAGTAAAATTCATTCAAAAACCATGACAAATTATATCATTTACAGATTATTACATTTTTTTCTGTTTCACACATCATGACATAGACGAACCTTCAGTGGTTCTATCAGTTCTATTTTTAGAGTCAATTTTGATCAATGCAATTCTCGATGCAAAAATAAAAGATACACTGATGGACAACTCATTTCATGGGGGGGGGGTAAGCTACCAACATCAACTATGACTCTTTCTCTCTCTTTCCCAGGTTCGCAATTTCTCCGGCACGCAAAATCAGCAAATATTCATTCAAAAGTAAAGCTGCCTACAGTAACTCACCTGGTGGTCCTTGCTGTTGTGGATAACCATAGCCTGGTTGTTGCCCGGGATATCCACCAGGTGCTCCATAACCAGGCTGCTGAGGTTGATACGCCCCTGGTTGAGGTGGTGGGTAACCTCCTGGCTGCTGCTGAGGCTGCGGGTATCCACCAGGTTGCTGGGGTGGCTGTTGTTGAGCGGCTCCATAAGGCTGCTGGCCCTGGATAAACAAATGTATATATGATATAAAAAAGTGCAAAACACTCAACTTGTGTGGGCAAATGAGAAGAAGTTTTCATTGGTTAGAGAAGCCCTAAAATAGTTCCACCAATTACCCATGAGTCTTTGTGTCTATCCCATCCTTAATCATGGCTGATTTACGTGGAATATAGACCCTATTATATTTATTCAAACGAGAAACATTAGATGAATTAAAGTAGACAACACAAAACTCAGAAAACACATGACATGATAGTTCTAGGTTTAAATATTCATTCAATAAAATCCTAGTACAACCAAACAAAACGATATTTTTTAGGGACATCCATATCCTCCAAAAATAGATAGGCTGTACCAAATGATGCAGAATATTTTGTGTTTTGTCAGACATACTAGACAGAAAAAAAATTAATAAAAAGTGTGCGATCAAAATCAGATAAAAAAAAAATTACACAGTTTATTGAGAGCATGGAATAAAATTTATAAGGTTCATTCATTTTGCCAATCATGTGATCATGACATTGGGTCAAACACTAAACCAATCACAAGCATCAATTCATGCACCAAGGGTGGTCTTCACTGTAACAGTCTATATATGGACATGGTGGACAATAAGTCGATTCAACTCTATCTGGCTGCTATCATGGCTTTATGGAAATTCACACTGTAAAATACTTTATTTTAGCTGGAATTAATTTTCACTGAATGAACTTTTTGGGTGTTTTGTATGGAATTTATTTTCACTGATTTTTGACAGGTAAAATCCTGGATTTTATTTTCACTGAATCATTCCTTCAGCAAAAATAGCGAAAATAAATTTCAAGCGAAAATAAAGTATTCCACAGTAATATAGATAAACTGCTCAACACATATTATTAGACTATGCTATAATCCAGCCAAACATCTTCATTGTCGTAAGCAAGTGATACATTATTTTTTCTGGTCAAACCTTGACTGCACCTCTGCACGGTTAGATGCTATTTGTAACATGAATTTGATAAACTCAAACAAAAATCAAAGTTTTATTTATTGGGGTCCATACTGAGTTTTCCACAGGATTTTAATTTTTTTTAAATGTTTTTTGGATTTAACTATGAGTTTCAAGATAGATGCAGCATAGACCCTAGAAATAATTTTTGGGTGACTTTCGCAAAATGTTACTTAACAAATGGCACAATTATTTACAGTATACATAAACTGATTAACCTGCAGTGTCCGCATACGACAGATTGGATATGGTTGGTTGAGTCTGGGTTGTAGACAGTCTGACGATAGCTGTACTACAATGCAGAAACAGGGAATATTTGAAATGCGTTATTTAGCTCAGTCTGTGCCCTTATAGCGAAGCAACAGCATATTCCTGGCGGTAAATTGGGATTTGTGCTGTAACCTGAAGGTTGTCTGAAACAACACGGCGTGTGGGTGTGGTCATCAACCGTATACACAACGATACATAGCGTAATTAGACATGACAGACGAACAAAGCCGTCTGACAAGAGTCTGTGATCGCCCAGACAGAGAAACCCTGTAAGTGGGCGAAATACGGGAAGTTTGATACCAGCAACATAACGATAGGGCTGTGTTATCGCGAGAATAAGATACCAATCATGACAAAGATTACAATATAGTCAGATCTAAAACATTAACCCATAAATTACAAGATAAAACACGGAAGTCGTGGCAACGGAAATTTCTGTATAGCTTTAACTAGGTCAATCGGTTCACGGCTCCATGTGCACCACACATACATTTTATCAAGGAAAAAATACGATGAATTGGTTGATCGACTACTCCTCAATATCCAGAAACTAACACTTTGCAAATAATTCCGCGATAAGTGACAAAACAGTTTCACTTTCACTGCATCGCCTACCTGATAACCATATCCTGGATACGCCATCTTGGATTTTAAGATGTGTGTGTTTGTTGCTTCTATCTTTCCTTCAGTCTACATTCTTTACGTTTTCATTCATGATTTCCGTTTTGAATTTTTATTAAACGTCTGCGCATGTCATACAAAAAATATTTAAAAAATGTATAATGTTTTTTCATAATGAATCCAAGATACACCATTATATTAAAATTCAGTTTTATTTACTAGTATTTTATTATTATTATTATTTCCAATTTAATCACATAATCTAGTACTAGCAAATGTTTTTGATATTTGAAAAAAAAATTAAAATAATGTTTTCGACCCCCACTTTTGAACAAGATTTATCTTCTGGATGAAGTTGATGTTCTTAAACAATGAATATGTTATCGAATTTATTTTTCTGATACTCCTGGCGACAACAACGTAACAGAATAAAGTTTTTTTGTTTTGTTTTTTCTGTGTAGATTTTTTGTTTCAAATTCACCTCAAGCCATTCCGGGATCGCTCCGGAACCTACAAACATGCAGAAGCACGGAACGGCATTGTTGAATGTAGCGCCCTCTACCGATATACTAGGAAAGTAATAAAAGCAATTAAGTTTATTAAATTAAATCTTCTGTTTGCATGCTAGTCTTTATAGACCAGGTTCATACAAAATCAGGTTTATACTTCAATGAACCAAAATACACACTAACTATTTGATATAATCGCAACTATAAAGGATGCAAACATTTTTTCATCTCGATCTGATCCACAAAAGAAAACTGATATAGTATTTGCACTTAAGAAAATTGGACTTTTTTATATGGTAAAAAAAAAATAATCGCTTGGCAATGTTTCAATTTACATCGCTGTTTAAATTGCTATACATTGAATAGTATTGCTTATAAATTAATCAAGCTAAAACAAAAATACTAAGTATGCAACAATGTATCCATATCAAAAGAATTAGAAGCGCCTGCATTTCACAACATCCTGGTAGATTCTATTATCATTCCAAGGACAGGCAACTAGTCGAATACAATCACACCCAGCAAAATAAGCATTTTGATCTGAAATGAAACCAGCTTTACTTTATTTTGCAAATTGCAGATCACATGCATTTTTACCCTCTCTACAAACTGTTGCGAATATACACTGAAAGGACTACCCTGTCGAAGTTTACTCTTGCGCACAGACTAAATATACGTGGTGAAACGTGCGTACACTGGCGGGTCCGAAATTTGGTAAGGGTGGAGGGTGGAGGGGGATTAGTACGCTACTGATATTGGAACTCCTCATGACATAGCCTTTCCCTCCTCGCATGCTGAATATTACAAAGACAAGATGCTAATAACTCAAAAAGTTAGAAAAGCGAAAAATCAAAATTACCCGGAAGTCAGACGGCACTAGTTTTGTTTACACATTTAATGATAACCCATTTACATCAAAGAAATATGAATAATTACATAAAACTCTGAAAGTAATCTACCGTGCGGTCATTTATCACTTTTATTAATTGCATGTTTCCGGCAAAAAAATTTTGCTTTTACTCGAATGTATGATCTGTGCAGTGTCACGGTATTTTTTGAGTTCAATAAGTTGAGTCTACTATTGATTTACTTGGAGCGATTCAGGCAATGTTTATTGTAATAGGAGTTGCTGCTTAGTCTGGAATAGAAACAATATTGCAATATTTTGTTTTAAATTGATTGATAAAATATTGTTCGGATGTATAGCAATATTGTTAGCAAAACAGCGATGTAAATTGCAACATTGCTCAGAGGATTATTATCTCAAGTAATGATCCATCTAGTTTTCTATGCAATTCTCTTGACATGTGCTTTTAATATGGAGAATAAGGTACACTGACAGAAATCAAAACAGCGATAATTACCAATGCATGGTGCAGTATTTGTTCATCTCAAATCAAGGAGGTTGTGTGTGCGTGTGTGTGTGTGTGTGGGGGGGGGGTGATCGCCAATGTGGCATTATAAATCACATTATGAACATTTTCTAGGAGAATTGAAGACATGTCTGTCAGGGACGACTAATGTTAGTCATGTTTATTGCTTCATATCCTTATTGCATGTTAAAGACCACAGGGTATTTGCATGAAACAGACTCGTTAATTACACAGCAATGGTTTTTTTTTTTGCTTTATTGATAAGCAGGGCTGGATCCAGGCATACACCCTCTGTGCAGTGTCAGGTTCACCAGAAAGTACAATGTATCAAAAATGGTATGAATTTTGCCAGAGAATATACAAATTGGTAAGAATTCTCCAGAACTTATGTGGCATGACAATTTTTTGGGCAGTAGTCAGAATTGAAACCCAGATCGGCACCTGATAATTTGAAAATTAAATATAAATTAGTTTTCTCACATAAAGAGCACAATTCTATTAATATGTAATGAATATTTTATTATATAATAAAACAAAATAACATTGAAACATCAAATTGTCAAAAACTTTAAATTCAATTTTCTGATATGCATTAAATGTAACTAAAAGTGAAAGACAAATTTTAGCCACTACCGCTACTATCAGAAAATGTCATACAAAAGTTTGACAGAAAAGATCAATATTGCCCCTTCACACAAACTGACACAATTACTTACTAGATACTGTAAAATACATTTTCAATTGAAATTAATTTTTGCTAATGAGTCAGTGAAAATAAAATTTAGCAGATACATCTTTTTTTCATATATTTTACATTCAACTTATCAAAAATGATTGAAAATAAACTCCATACAAAACACCCAGTCTTTTCAGCGCAAACTAATTCCAGCTAAAATAGTTTACAGTACATTTTAAGTCAAAAAACCTGCAGAAGAGAAAAAAACAGCAGACTTTCTGAAAATTAAAATTATACACTTCATGAACATCTCTCAAAAATTTCAGAAAATAAAAACCCTGAATCTGTATACTAGTATTTGGCAAACATGAGCACACCATTACCATGGTTACAGACAAAATATATATGAACAATATTGAGAAATTGGTTCATTATTTAAACTAGATGAATAGCGAATATTTCAAAGATTTTGACCTCAGTTCCTGTTGAGAATGGCTGGCTGGCAGCCATAATGCGGGACCGATGAGAACAAGCTTCATAATTATTCATTTCTCGTTTTGATGAAAGTAACTGTTCTAATACAAGGTTCTTCAACTGATCATGTTTATGTAAACAATGTATTCAACACGAGTTGTAAACATTGTATGAAATCCATAACAATCAATGACAACAATCGTTCTTTATATAGAAAAAATTACCACATCAAGTTAATAAAGCAAAATGAAATGAAAATGCAACACTGTTCTACACTGTAAAACTAGGGAGGGGCCAATAAATTGTTAAGTGTGCATATACTATTTTCAATCTTATGTGATCTTCTGTGAAGTAGTTTATTTTCACTTGAAATTTACCTTTTTTTTATATTTTACATTCAACTCATCAAAAATCAGTGAATAAACTTCACACAAAATAAAATAAATTTTTCAGCAAAAATTAATTCCAGCTAAAATATTTTACAGTATAAAGTGGACATTGATGCACCAAGTGTTGCATGAAAACCTGAGTATTTTTGTTGCATTGGAATACATTTGTCCATCAAAATTATAGCTTAATATCACATTATACATTTACATATATGGAGTTAAAATACGGCTTATTATACCAATAGGGCACACCATGCTCATTTATGTACCCGTATACGCTATAAATAACAAAGTGAATTTAGTATATTTGTGACAATCGTGAAATTCAAAAACAGTGCAATACAAGTTATGCAATATGTTATACACGTATACATACAATTTCAGTGGTAAAGTTTGTGACACTGCAACAGACATGGCAAAATAATGAGGCGATCTGCAATCATGTCACCGCCTTTTGTCAATCAGAGTAAATCTACCTCAGACCTCTATCCTCTCCTCCAGACTGGTTACTTTTCATGCTATTATAACTACAAACTGTCAATTCACAACAAACAGAACACAACTTCTACTTGTTACCACACTACAAACGCACATTACAAAACAGACTGCTGAAGTGGCAACTGACTAAAAAAATTTCCACAATACACTTCTTTTTAAAACGTATTTCAACTACTATATTTACAAGTTAGTTTATCAGGGTTCAGGCTCTATCCTGTTACTATGACGATATAATGCTTCCATCAATATCTTCATGGATAACTGCAGTCATTTTTCCATAAATAGCTCCATTGAAAAATATGCTCATTTTATCAAACCTTTATATTTAAGACAAAAGATCCCTCAAGCCAAGCAAATGTTGAACAATTTTTTTGGCGGGAGAATTATAACATTCCCAGGACTGAATCAGATACATTTTATTCCAACATGGGAGAAAAATAAATTACTATTAAAACTTAAAGATAGATAAAATAAACATAATAAAATTCACACTTGTAAAATAAAAACAAAATCCAATACAAGGAAATAAACTTATCCTCAAGTTATTTATATCTTGGCAACAGGAAATGAAAATTATTTTGATAAGGATTCTAAAAATAACCAATATTTGCAAAAAAATACACTGTATCAGCCAGTTTGTACAACTTGGGTAAGAAATACACTTGTAAATAAAATCGTCTAACATTTTTATTAAATTCTGATTTATCCTAATTTATTGCATATCAAAATTTTGTTCTCAATAATTCAAAATCACTGGACCTTCAAAAACTATGATTTTAAATTCTAATCATCTAATAATGCTATTGTTACCATGGCAATTTTTTACATTCACAAATACCTGTCAATACTAGTATCTGCAGTATTTTTCACAAAAAGTACATCTGTATGAAATTTTTAATTTTCAATAAAGTTATAAATTTGGTTCAATTAATAGATGTAATTTAATTTTGTAATGAATTGTTCTTCTAACAAGAATTGTCATAAAATGAAGAAGAGATTATTTTATCAAGTGAGCCATATTAAAGACATTACGTATAATATTCTCCGCTTGGCAGTTGATTGCGATGTCTTAGTAGCGGTGCTTTCTCTGAACTAACGTTGGGTCTTGAAAGCGGTCTGTCTTGTAATTGTTCTTCGTATAATTTAACTTTGTTGACAGGTGGACCTGGGAAGACAGAAAAAAAGTTCAGCGTTTTGGACAAAGTCACCATAACAACCATCTCACAGTGGTCTTAAAATTATTAAGAGTTAGCAGCATTGCTTGCAACTTTGCAAACACTTGAGAATATTTTTCAGACTAGATGGTGCCTGACTGTCTGAGAAATTTACATACACGTCTTAAAGTTGTATTGTCGCCAAAATTTTATCTGAAGCCTTTGGCAAGTTAAGTAACATGTGTTTTGTAATGTTCTGTTCCGTAATGTAATGTTCTGTTCTGTTCCGTAATGTAATGTTCTGTTCTGTTCTGTAATGTAATGTAATGTTCTGTTCTGTTCCGTAATGTAATGTTCTGTTCTGTTCTGTAATGTAATGTTCTGTTCCGTGATGTAATGTTCCGTAATATTCTGTTCTGTAATGTAATGTTCTGTAATGTAATGTTCTGTAATTTAATGTTCTGTTCCGTAATGTAATGTTCTGTAATTTAATGTTCTGTTCCGTAATGTAATGTTATGTTCTGTAATGTTCCATAATGTTCTGTTCCATAAAGTAATGTTCTGTTCTGTAATGTAATGTTCTGTTCCGTAATGTAATGTTCTGTTCCGTAATGTAATGTTCTGTTCTGTAATGTAATGTTCTGTTCTGTTCCGTGATGTAATGTTCCGTAATATTCTGTTCTGTAATGTTCTGTTCTGTAATGTAATGTTCTGTTCCGTAATGTAATGTTATGTTCTGTAATGTAATGTTCTGTAATGTAATGTTCCGTAATATTCTGTTCTGTAATGTAATGTAATGTTCCGTAATATTCTGTTCTGTTCCATAACATAATGTTCTGTTCCATAATGTAATGTAATGTTCCATAATGTAATGTAATATTCTGTTCTGTTCTGTAATGTTCTGTTCCGTAATGTTCTGTTCCATAATGTAATGTAATGTAATGTTCTGTTCCATAATGTAATGTAATGTTCTGTTTCGTAATGTACTGTTCTGTTCCGTAATGTAATGTAATGTACTGTTCTGTAATGTAATGTTCTGTAATGTAATGTAATGTTCTGTTGCGTTCTGTTCTGTTCCGTTCCGTAATGTAATGTTCTGTTGCGTTCTGTTCCGTAATGTAATGTAATGTTCCGTAATGTTCTGTTCCGTTCTGTTATGTTCCATAATATTCTGTTCTGTTCTGTAATGTTCTGTTCCGTAATGTTCTGTTCCGTAATGTTCTGTTCCGTAATGTAATGTAATGTTCTGTTTCATAACGTATTGTTCTGTAATGTAATTTTTTGTAATGTACTGTTCCGTAATGTAATGTACTGTTTCGCAATGTAATGTTCCGTGATGTAATGTAATGTTCCGTAATGTAATGTAATGTTCCGTAATGTAATGTAATGTAATGCTCCGTAATGTAATGTAATGTTCAGTAATGTTCCGTAATGTAATGTTCTGTTCCGTAATGTAATGTTCTGTTCTGTTGCGTTGCGTTCTGTAATGTAATGTTCCGTAATGTTCTGTTCCGTAATGTAATGTCAGGTTGTCAACAGGGATCAGAATCATGGAATTCTTCGTTTGATCATAGACCCTCTAACAGAGGGTCTATGGTTTGATAAACAAAGATGGACAATATACAAAATTAATATCACACGTAAATCATTTTCCATTGTACTTAGATGAAATGTACACAGTGATCTTGAGTGGTTTCCCTTCATAGCCAATAAGTCTTTTTATAAGGCTATTTTACTCATGTTATCACTGTGTCGAAGTGAGTTCCGAACATTACATACCTACAAAGTTAGTTGTCCTGTCACATGCACTGATGAGCACAATATCATGATCTACTAGTACTGTACCCACAGTGAGAATGACAAGTAAACAAATTCATCCCTAACATATGCATTTAATTTTTTTCAGATAATTTGTGATTTCACAAGAATCACACTGCTACAATATTTGGTGATTCCCGCTGATTCACATAACTTATTGCATAATTAGTCTTATATTAAATAACATTATTTTTTAACCATGTAGTCATTACAAAATATTTTTTTCTTTTATGTTCTCAGATAAAATTATGTCTTTATTGTCCAAATTATCGCATTAAAAGCCAACATTTTGCACATTTTCATGTATTTTTCTACAATTTGTTAATTTTGGATCAAATAGACATAATTTCTAATCAAAGAAAGCTTAGAAAGAACTCCCATGTGCTGAGAGTATTGGAGACACATTAAATATAATTTGAAATTACTTAGCTGAAAACTAATTATGCAAATCAGAAAATTAACATGAACAGATTTGATTGTAAAACTAATGAGGTCTGCGCAATGTAACAAAAACTCTATGTACCAAGTTTAATTGAAATGTGATTAGAACCAAAAAATTATGAATTATTATGCTAATTGGGGAAATAATATGAACAGAGTTTTACCCCAAACTAATTAGGTTTGTACATTGTCCTAGAGCATCTTTGTACTAAGTTTCATTAAAATGGAAATTAGTACTTTAGATATCAGTGTGAAAGCTTAAAATTGGTTAATTATGCAAATTGGGTAATTAATATGTACAGATTTTAACCCACAATTATCCAGGTCT